AGTTTTGAAAAAATTAATTATTCACGTTTATTAGTTATAAATTAATTCTGGCGAATCCCGAATTGCTAAATTAAGAACCTGAACTGGACTGTCTAAAACATTTTAAATTATTACAAAGCGGAAAAATTGTTCAATCAGTGATGAATAAATTTGAAAATATACATTTAAGCACAAACCGAAAATCGATCTGTTACCAACATTAAAGTTTACGCTGTAGCTACCTCTAGCAACAAAGCGAGAAATGGGCAAATTGCTATTTCGCCATTTTAAAGTCGTGTTACGTTGTCAGCAACTTTTCAAGTTTCTCATTTACTCGTTTAGGTGCATTCTTATCCAGATGAATGTGCGGTATTTATATGCAATTTTATATTTTCTTTAGGATGACGGAAATGTTTCTTTTCCTGGCTCATTTAGTCGTGAAATTTGTACTATTTTTTGCTTATCGCAAATTCTTTATGACCTATAGCGGGACTAATCTCAGGCGTTATCGTTTACAAATGGGGTTTTTATTAATTTCAGAGAATAATTTTAACAAGACGTAAAACAGTGTTTACAATTAGCGAAGTAAGGTGATTAATCGTCGTTATAAGGGGAGAGGCGAGAATTAAGTATTATATACTGCGAAAAAACCTGAGTACCTAATGTACCTAATATTTATATCACGATATAGTAAAATCTTAAATAAAATTGGTAATACCGTATGTGGCTGCACGGTACCCAGATACAGGCCTAAAGTACCTTTGGAAACTGGGTGGACATCTGCCCACGAAAGAGATGGAGTAGAGGAAACACTAGTTGTTGTAGCAATATTTCAATACTTATTTTCTTTCTTATTGAGCTAATGCAGCGGGAGCTGTCTACCCCTGTCAAAATCGCTAACGTGGTTATAATTTTGGTGTCTTTGGTGTCGAACTCGAGGCATTTTCTTACATTGAATCGAATTAGACTAAGGAATAATAACGAACCGGTTTTCTCAAATTGGTCTCTTCACAAAAAAATTTAAAGATAAAAATTTATTTTTACAAAAAGTAGAGAAGATAAAACATTGGTATTGTCATCATAGCATGTTTTAAATATGTTATAGAAGTTCTGTTGTCAAAAAATTAGGTTCAAGAAATGATTCCTTCTGAGTGTAACACTTCTAATGTCAATGAGTCTATATACTATATTAAAATAACGATTTCATCGTATTGCTCATAATATCTTTTAATAAGAAAGTACTCTAATAATAAGTTTTGCTATGGAACTAAATTCAACTCGAACACATGTAAAATCAAATTTAACTTTAATCTGTAAAATTTCTGAGTATCCTTATGCCACACCTTACTGATTCTTTTATTTTTTTAATATTACCATTAATATTACCATGTTCATACCAAATACCAGGATATAATATCCTGCTTGACACTTCAAAAAGGAATCAAAGTCATGGAATTCCAGAAACCTCAAACATTATAACAACATATAATCGAAAAAAAAAACATAAACACTTAATTGACATTTTGACAAAACAAAGACCAGTTTTTACGACTGATTTGACTTGAATAATGAAATGTTTATTCTCCTGTCCTCCCTATTGCTCTGGGTGATGGATGTGATTAAATACAATAAAAAAAATAATGTTCTTAAAACGAAAATTGTTAAATCAATTACCTGAATTTTACAAAAACAATAAAAATTGTAGCCAAAGGTGCTTTTTAAAAAACCGTACACGAATTTCCGCCCCACGAGACAAGCATTTGTATTTCAATTCAATTATATCATTGTGGCTAAATATGTTTCTTGTGTTCTGTGTAGACAACTACAAACCTTGAAAAAATTGTCAAAATAAGTCTTAAATTGTTTTACAAAATATGCATCATTACATTAAAAGTCTGGAAAGTTGGTTTTCAGATTTGTTTTAAATAAGTTGAAACGAAAATGCCAAAATGGAAATTTCTTTACTCTTTTGTAACAGTTAACTAATAGAATGGATGAATTACGTTTTCGAAAATTTACTTGATTGATTATTTTGTTCCTTAATAATTTCTTCCTTTTTGTGTTTATCCATCTGTTCTTAACACGTTTGATGTCTTATAAACACGTTTTTGGATTTATTACAGCTCTCTTCATAATGAAATATTGAGTCGAAAATATTGAGTTAAAGAAAATTCTGCCATCCAAAAATAAACATTATCTGTTTAGTTGATGTTTTCAACTCCTTCGTGCTGTGATAATTAGCGTGTGAGACCGTTTCCATAGGAAAAATGTTTCTGATTCGGTCTGGCGAAAGTTTTGGGCAGAAATTGTTTAAGCAATTTTTTTAAACAAATTTCAAAAATCACCTTTTTTGCCCAGTAGACATTTTTTGTGTCATTACGAACAAAAAAAGGTCTCGTGTCATTTTTCTCTTAATTTGACAGTTTTTGAGTTATAAGCGATTTAAAATCTGAAGAATGTAAAAATACGCATTTTAGAGGCTTGAAAACTCCTATTAAGTAAATTATTATTTTTGAAATTGCCAAGTGCCTAAATTGAAGTTTAAACGTTAAGTTTCATGATTCTGAAGAGCGTTGGACATGTCCAGCACTTATTTCATCTTCCAAAATCAATTCTACAGACAAATAAATGGTGCCCCAATGGGCTCATCGCTATCTCCAGTAATTATCCACTAGCCACTAAAAATACTTAAACTCACATGTTCGCTACGATATGTTGACGATACATATGTCATTTAGCCCCATGGTAGGGATGCTTTGATGTCTTTTCAAGCCCATCTGAATTGTATACATCCTAGTATCCAGTTCACGATGGAGGTGAAAACTGATTCATCACTAACGTTTCTCGACGTTATCATAAAGAAAAACCAATTCCAAGGTTCAAACCCAAACTCGCATCATCCCCCTTCACAAATTAATTCAGTCATTATTGTCTCCAGATCAATTTGCCTTTGCGATGATGCAAGTAGACCTGCTGAGCTCTCTAGTTTAAAACAAGCCCTCATCCAAAACGGTTACTGCGAAAATCACATCAATATGAGCATCCACAGATATCAATCTCCCACTCGATCTTAACCCAAAGACTCAATCCTCATCATAGGAAAGTTTTTCTTTCTTACAACAAAGGTGTCACTGACCAAATCGACAAAATTCTTAAATCATGAAGATTAACGTCAATGTTTACCCTACCCCAGCCCCCCCCCCACCCCTTCAATCCCCAACAAAACATTCCAAATAAGCAATACGAAGTATATGTAATTCCTTGTGCAGACTGCGCCCGATTCTATATAGGCCAAAAACAACGTAGAATCTAAAATAGGATTTATGAACATTCTATTTCTGTTCCGACTAAATTTCAGCTATAGGTCAACACCATCTTAATACAGGTCACAAAATTGATTTTGAAAAAAGCTAAATTTATTCCCACTATCAGATATGTTCGCACCAATTTTAGTGATCAGTGTAGTAGTGGCTGGGGGCTCGGGATCTCTGAAGAAAATATCGGAGAGGATGCCGAAAGCTCAGCGCAATGATAATCGACGAGGTTCAACCGGGAAGACTGTTGAATCTAATATTCATTCCTGTGATAGTAACTCAGCTACCAGATAACTATGTTATGATCTCATTAGATATAGTGTCATTCTTTACTAACATCCCAATAAAGTTAATCATTAAAATCATATAAGAGAAATGGTCTAAAATAGAACAATTCACATCCTTATCAAGAAAAGACTTCCTTTCATTTCCTTCATTCTTATTTGATAGCACATATTTTTGTTTTGTGATAAATTCTATAAACAAATATTTGGATCTCCAATGGGTAACCCTATCTTCCCAACAATTAACCTAGACCATCTAATAGACCTTAGAATCTTAAAATTGCTGCTTCCACTAGCATTTATTTATAAATTTGTTGATGGCATAATAAGCAGAGATCTTAATGTTCCTTTGTATATGAAATTAGATTCCCAAGACATGGTTTCAAAACTTTTCACATAAAGATAGGAGACCCATTACAACTATTATAAGAATGCGAACCGGTGATTGTTTAACAAGTCAACATCTTTTCAAACCGAATTTAGTGGGCAACCCTTACTGTGAATGTGGCCTACCTAATAGAGAACCTAAATCATATATTTTTAAATGTCCCGTAAGGATCATTCCGAGTTTTGACCTATACACAAAATTCATTTATATGAATTATAATTCACCATTTACTATATATTCCATTTTAAATAAACTTACTGCAGAATCAGTCAGTATTTTGATAAAATTCCTTTCAATTAACAAATTAAATTTATAATCGACAATGCTCAACACTTTTTGTAGTGTTTACTAACATAACCTATTAATTATTAATGAATTTTTTTCACAAAATTATTTGGCACAAGTAAGTGGCCTCAGGTTGGTTTAGAGCCAAATTGAGCTCGCCGATCACCATGACGGAGAAGCCATAGAAACAAAAGAAGAAGAAGAAGAAACAAATGTCATTTAGATATGTTAACAAAATTTAAATGTTTACTCTTTTAGTTGTAAGTATTGAAATATTCACTTTGTTTGCATCATGGTTTACATCCAATAAGTATTATTCTAGTAAATTTACAGTTTTCTCCTGAAGTCACAAGATCGTGACAAAATATTGAGACATATAACAGAGTTTTATTTCCTGTAGACCGATTGCAAATACTATAAAACAATATTTAACACAGTACCTTCGAAAATAATTTAAAATATTATATTGTGGTGTCGGTTTATGCAAGTATATTAAAGGCATATGTTACATACCGTTTTAACTGTTATATTCGAATGTTTAGAAGCATATATTAAAACTTAAAGCCAATATAGATATCGTACTAAAATATTTCTATAAAATCCGCATTGCAAAACCTAAATTGAATCTAGAAACGCCCGTTTTCCCTGTAATATTTTAGCCATTTTGTTACGGCTCCCAACCCAATTTCTCTTTAAACGTTTTCCTGATATTGGTATACATTAACAAACCAACGTATACTTTCGTTGCAGATTTTCCTCGAGTTGAAATAGGACCAGAAAATCCCTTACGTGTTGAAAGGGATTCCCAAGCCACCCTCCGGTGTTCCGTAGACGCCAAACCGAAAGTTACGACCATTAGATGGACCAGGAACAACAGGTAAGTGGCTTTTAATAAATGATGAGTTATAGCGGTGACGAGTTTTGGTTTTGTTAACTCGTTTTTACGATATATAACCCTTAATTTATTTATTTATGGAACGGTCAATTAGAAACTGTAGGGTTAGCTGTATCTACTTATCTAACTATTAAATATTTACTATAAGGTAAATTGTCTATTGATTTTAAGATTATAACTGTAATTCTATCATAAATAAACTAATGTAACTCTAATATTAAAACAATTTTAATGTTTATTCGATCCTCCATCTTGAAAAGGCACGTATCTATCTAGCTTTAATACCAAATAGAATTAAATATTATTTGGGATTAACGTCATTAATATTATCGATGTTATATAATGTTCTAAATAACAGTATTCGGTATTATTAGTACCTACTTTAGTATAATATGACATATCATTGTTTAACGACAAATTTTTGGTGGAAGCGCTGCACATATGTCGATTTAATGGATTTACGCGGCCAAAATTATTTTACAGCATAGTTCTACTCAAAATGGTACAAATTAACGGAAATATTGTTTTTTTTAATATTGGCATCTACTTTTCATGGAAAAAATCAAAATCAAATTTTAAAATGAACAAAAAATATATTAGTTTTTGTTTTACCTCACATATCAGTGTCTGATATATCGGACTCAGTATTCGGGTCACCTGGTAAAAGCATTTGAATCGTTTCAGGGCAAAATGAGCCTGGTTTGACACTTTTCTGTACACGTTTCTTGCTGATTAAAATGGTTAATAATGGATCAGAAGTTAGAAGAAGTCTGTTAAATATATTTAGGTTGCATTCCTCCCTCGAGAACTTTCGTGCATAGTTCTCGCGATATAATCGAAAATGCTTATTTTTAGCTTCTGCTGCCTCTTCCAACAGCTGTCCTGTAGGTAATATGAATAGCTGTCCTATAGGTAATTTTCGATTATTTCTGCACCGTGAACTAATATTTTATGCATGGTCGGTATCATAGGGTGCCATCCATACAGATCGACATAATAATGGAATAGTCATCAAATTGTTGAACGTCAATTTTATGACCACTTGAAATTGTTTCTAATATAATCTTCAGTCTATATATCAATTCAAAATTAACTTTTGTTACATCGGCAGCTAGTTGAGGATTTTCAAAAAATCTTCGGCTAGTATTGCCGTCATTAGTGTTCCCGAAATTGGCTTTTGGAATGTCGATTAACAATCCAGTTTCTTTTCTAAATCTTTCCTGGATATATTTTTTTGTGAGCACTTCTATCTTCTTTTCTTCGTCAGTTCTCTTTTCTCCATACTTTTTTATTGGTAATTTGTATGCCAAATGTAAAACGCTTTCAAGCATTCGTATTCTAGCATGTAATACCGAGAGACCAAATTTAATAGCCTTAGAACTTATACTTAATTTTTTATTCAGATTGTTAAAGTCTTTAGATGTCGCTCCGCATATATAACACCGACTTGTAGATTTTGTATTAGTTGCAGCATTACAAACCTTGCCATCAATCATGGTCATCTTAAAAACATGATCAAACATGAATGTGATCCCGTTCAAAACAACTTTAGTATGTGTTAAGTTTTTGGCAGATTCTTCAACGTAACTGATCTCCTCGTTCGCTACATCAACTGTTTCTTTCACAAAGCTAAATCGTATAGGTCTACAATATCTAGGCAAGGACGGTATTGGGTTTTGCCAAATTACTTTTTTACCACATACTATTCGAAGTGAAACAAAAGAAGACAGGAATATATGCGCATACGTAGCAGCGTCATCGTCAAATTTCTGTTTGTATCTGCCTTGTTGAGATCCGTCACAACCCCATTTACAAATAATTTTTAAAGACTTCCTTTCATTGTCATTTAGAGAACAAAGGATTTCTTCTAACTTCACTGATAAGCGGTAAACGGTGTTATCTATTAAACTTTGTAAACTGCTTTCTGCGCAAGTACTTGATACCTTTATGCAATCCGTTGGCGGGTAACATTGTTTTTATTTCCTTTAACAGTAAGTCATAGGAAAGATAAAAAGATTTATTTGTATTTCTAATGATTTCATACTGTCGCTTGGTTAAATCAGCTTCAACAAACATTGCTAGGGCTTGCAACGGTGTAAGAGCAGTAATGTTTTCTTTATTTATTTTCCTGAACGCATCTCTATATTTATCTGCACGAGTTGGAGAGTTGGTAATATCTTTTAATATTTTTGAAGCATTTCTTTTTCCTCGACCCTGTAATGTTGATTGGGCTGCATGAACGAGAACTTCTCCATCAAGCGAAGAACGTATTTCTTCTGTTTTTCTCCTTTTCGTTCTTTCACTGGAGTCATTAAATGATTTAGATGGCCGACCTTGTCGCATTTTTTCGTTTTCTACAAGTATAAATGTTCCATCTAACCAAACTCTATTTGTTTGTAAAAATGTAGCCTCCTTTCGGCGGGCCTTTAACCATTTCTCTTTTATGGCCGTTTTAAAATGCCGAAATCTTCGCTTTAAACTGGTTAAGTTGTCAGATGTGTCACCATAACAGGTCAGTAAGTGATTTTCTAAATATTTCAGTTTATCATCTAAATTAGGCAAATCTTGAAGCTTCATTTGGTCGTAAAGATATTTACGGGTCACTATTTTTATGCCAAAGGCACCAGATGTAGCTAAAACAAAGAAAAGCGTATCTTGTTACAGTGAATACAATTAAGTACTTTTATTTGTGTGACGTCATCAATAAAACAAAATAAACAAAAACCCCTGTATTTCGGTCATCCGCAGCTAAATCGTACGGCATTAACACGTTAATCGCCCAAATGAAGCGAAAAATATCCCACCCCCAGGCCCAACTTAGTTTTTCTAGTAAATCATTAGGTTTTTACCTCGGATATGATGTACTGGCTATTATAAAGCGCTACATTAAAAAAGTTGTCTAAAAATGTATTTTGAAAATGACACCCTACTTATGGGTTTCAGATCCTCTGATGGCCGAGCGCCGCGAAACCCGAGTATAGGTTGTCATTTTTTTCGAGTTCTAACAAGTCTGTGTGTGCTAAAATTCCAGTTGTTTTGTTTAGTCTACAATCCATTCGTTGAAATTACGGCGTGTAATAAGGTTGGTTGTGAATTATATAAAAGTGTATTGTGATTTGAATCGTAATAAAATGGGAGAAAATTACGAAAAGGGTCAAGAGAGACTTTTGAAATTGTGGAATGAGTTATTATCAGACGAAGAACAAGAGACTTTAGACTTTAGAGATAATTCTTCAGATGATTACTTGCCCAGTAATTCTTCATCAGATATTGACTCTGATGAAAGTGCATTGAATTTAGAAGCAAGGAAGAAAAAATTAAAAAGGTAATTATTATGTGAAACTTATCACCAAAAAACATGATTAACTTATTTTCCTTTTTGTTGTGTTGTTTACGGCTTAAAAAAATATTTGTACGTAGTTCAGTTCTAGTTAACCATTTTTAAATCTAAATAAAACGTTTCAATGTTTCTACAACTATAGTTCAAACTTCAGGATTTTTTCAACTAAAATATAATCACTTTTAGGTTCCCTATAAAAGCAAAGATTTCTATTGATGAGCTTCCGCCCAACACCTCAATACCTTCAGTTTCCACCATTAACTGCGAAACAGCTATAAATGCAAGGTCTGATGTATTACAGTATATATCTTCAAGTAGTGATTCTGATGATTTTTTAGAAGAAACAAATCCGAGAAAAAAAACTAAAAGGTAAATATAACTTTATTTTGGAAGCAAGTAAATATGCTCATTTTTTAAAACGTTTCTATATACTTGGATTGGTCTTTGTAACTATGTCACTATATCTGCAAATTTTGTAATCCATTTTAAAAATAGTTCTATGCTACCTAGGCACCTGAAATTTTCATGACACCAGAAAATATGCCTCTAAAATGTCGATTACAAAATTCTTTTATGACATAGAAATTGAAACAACAAAATAGTTTATAATTTTATATTGGGTCCTATAAATTATGAAAATGTTTTATTATAAAAAGTTCTTTTTTATACAAATGTAATTATGTTGTCCTTTCTCCAGCCGATCAGTCAGTTATAGTTGTTTTCTTTTTAGATCATGTAATCCAAACAATGTTGAAATGACTACGCCTATCCTAGAAATAAGTCATCCTGATGCGCAGCCTTCTACTTCTAGAGGGCCAAAGGTCCCGATAATTCTAAAAGAGCAACGTCAGTCCTCTGTTGATAAAGTCATCGATGAAGTTATAGCTCATTTTTGTCCCATGCAAATTGAAAATGAAAATGAAGAAGAGCTTTTACAAGATGAACTACACTGGTTTCCTCCGAATGGTTCCCATTTAAAAAATTTTAATTTTGATGTAGATCAAGTCGGTACTACAGCACAGATAGCTGAGAGTTTTCTTACAAAGGCACCATATGATTTTTTCAAGATATATCTCAGTGATGAACTTCTGGATTTAATTGTAGTGGAGACCAATAGATATGCTCAACAAACCAAAAACAAACCTATGGCAGTTTTCTCGCGATTACACAGATGGAAAGATACTAACAGGGACGAAATTACTACATTCTTTGGAATTGTAATGTATATGGGTCTAGCAAGGTTTTCAAAAATGACGGATTACTGGTCTAAGAATCCATTATATAGCAATCAGGTATCGTGTAAAATGTCAAGAAACCGATTCGAATTAATTCTCAGAATGCTACATTTCAACGATAATGAAACAGTTGATAAAAATAACCGTTTGGGAAAACTAAGCCCTTTATTAGAAAACTTGACAAATAAATTCAAAGAGGTCTATATTCCGGAAAAATCTGTGTGCATAGATGAAACACTGGTACCCTTCAGAGGGAGATTGTCATTCAGACAATATATAAAAAATAAGAGGTTCAAATTCGGAATAAAACTGTATAAACTCTGTTGTAAAGACGGCTATACCTACGATATCAAAGTATACTGTGGACAAGATAAAAATTCAGATAAACCTGCTACAGTTTCAACTGTTTTATCCCTTATGTCGCCACTTTTAGATCACGGACGCATTTTATATACGGATAATTACTATACTAGTGTCGCATTAGCGCATGAACTACAAAAGCGTAAAACGCATCTTGTCGGTACTTTAAGGAAAAGTAGAAAAAACAATCCAAAGGATGTAGAGACCCAAAAATTAAATAAAGGAGAAATTTACGCAAGAGAAAGTAATACAGGGGTAGTTGTTCTAAAATGGCAGGATAAACGTGATATTCTTTGTCTCAGCACTATTCATACTGACACAACCACTAACTATACACGAAGAGGAACAGACATAGAAAAGCCATCTCTTATAGTTGACTATAATTCGTGTAAGTCATTTATAGATCTATCCGATCAATTGAAATCATATTCTTCCCCTTTGCGTAAAGGGATCAAGTGGTATAGAAAACTTGCATTTGAAATATTACTTGGCTCAGCAGTAGTAAACGCTTTTATAATATACAAAACAGTGACAAAGGCCAAAATATCAATTACGGAGTTTAGAGAGAGTATTGTTCTAAGTATGTTACAATTCCATGCAATTGAGCCGAAGGTGCCGGAAAATGATAACAGAAAGCATATTTTACATGAAGTTGCTTCAAAAGATCGTCGAAAATGTGTAGTATGTTACGCGAAAATAAGCGCCGAAGAAGGCCGAAAAACCGCTCAGAAGAAGGGGCCAAAATCAAAATTTTCATGTGATGCATGTAATAAGTTTTATTGTTTGTCATGTTTTTTTGATGTTCACCATTATTCTGTATAATTAATAAAAACTGTGTGTATTATTTGATTACAATAAAAATATTTTTTCATAAATCCTTATAATTTTTTTGAAAAATCTTTATTGATAGTAAACACATAAAAAGTGCCGAGCTCATTCAATAGTATTACCTGCCAGGCCCCTCTGTAAAAACTTTCATATAGATAAATGTGTTTCGAAGCACGACAGTTGGGTTACAGGCTTTTATGTTAACGCTAGTAGTGAAGGTTGCCCTATGGGTGTCGGGGCGTGTACGACCACAGCATCTGAAACCCAAATGTCGGGTGTCATGGCGATTAACGTGTTAATTAGCCAAATATATGCCATATACTATAAAATAAACAGCATTGCTGGATCTACGGCGATAATATAACTTAATGTCTTATAAACATAAAAAGTAAACAAAAATTTCACTACAAAACAGCTTGGCTTTGATTTTGAAAAAATAATATAAGGTAACAGTAAACATTCTTTACATATTTCAAGAAATATGCATTCTTACCTGAACTATTTGATTCCATAATAATCACTTTAAAAAATAAGCTGAATATCACAAATTATCACGATATATGAAAAGTGTATAGGCGTAGACAACAAAACGTTATTGACAAGCTACCTACCGCGCGCCTGCGTCTGCGCACGCGCATGGTAAACAGTTCTAGAGTTGGGACAGTTATTTTTTGTTAATTCAAACCATCATGTATCTCTAGGATATTTCTTAAATTTTTTACGTCACTTTTGAAATTTGACTTTTGGCCTGCTAATTATTTAAAATCAACGTATGTGCGCTGCTGACGTCACAAACCTCGCCTGTAAAATGCTGATTCGGTGCAGAGTCGGTGCTAACTGTTGACATTTAACATATCCCAGAGTCGGCGCTGACTTATGCTAATATGACGCTAACGGGACGCTGGCAAGAAATGCGACTGGAGGTCGTAAGGATCATGTCAACACTGAATCATCGTTTAGCAGCTACTAAGAAGTAAGATTAAATGAAGGAAGGTCATCGTTCTTTCCTTAATCCATTTTTCCGTAAATCTTCTTCAGTACATCCAGTTTATCCATAATATTATTCGGTAGATTCACATCGTAGATATGTTCAACAGCAATGTCGAGAAATTTTAACAAAGATCATCAAAATTAGCATGCAAAGGGTTGATGTTCTTAACTCTTTCTAGCTGTATTTCGTACGGTCTGCTGTTGATTAATTATGTCTCTGTTTGCTGAAAACCATAAGTTTCGTTGCAAGTTGTCCCCCTCGACAAGGGGTTGTTGTCCCCATAGACACAACCAATCAGTAGCGTTAGTAGCAATCGTTTTGAAAATTTTATAAAAGTAATTTAATTTATAAAAGTACATATTTAGTACTTATTTTATGCACAGAGTTACAAATATTATACGTTCCATAATAAATAAACTTCTTCTTCTTCTTCTACTTTTTGTAGATCTTTCGATCTGTTTAATTCTGAAGCTGCCTCTGGTTAATTTCTTGGGAGGTAGATTGCCAACTATCCCTCCATCTTTTAGGAGGTCTTCCGGGGGGTCTTGAACCGGGCGGATTGTTTTCTAGGGCAATTTTTGGGAGTCTATTCTCATCCATTCGTCTTACATGGTTGTACCACATCCTCTTGCGCTGCCTTCCCCATCTTACAATATCTTGAATTTTGCACTGCTCTCTAATGTTTGTATTTCTCACTCTGTCTCTTCTTGTTTTCCCCATTATTGTTCTTAGGGTTTTCATTTCGGCAACCCTTAGCATCTGTTTCGTTTTGTTGGTATCTTCGCGCACTTCTATGCCATATGTCATGATCGGTCGTATGCAAGTCTTATAGATTCTAATTTTACTATCTGTGCGCATATACGGATTTGACCAGACTATCTCCCGCAGGCATCCTGACAGTGCAGATGCTTTGTTGATCTGACTCCTCAGGTCCTTTACTGGGTCGTGGGTGCTTGATATATCTATGCCCAGATATCTGAATTGCATCACCTGTTCTATGGGGTTGTCCTCAACCACTAACTTACATCTGAGCGGATCTTTTGCTATTGTCATACATTTAGTTTTGTTGGTAGAGATGTTCATATTTAGTAGTCGGCTTGTTTGAAAGAACTGAAAGAGCTGCCTTTGGAGATCATCTTCTGATTCGGCAATAATTGCTGCATCGTCTGCGTAACACACCATACCAATTCTTTTGTTGCCCATTCTATATCCGAGATTAAGAGATGTTACTTTGTTGATAATTTTGCCCATGAGAAGATTAAACAAGAAGGGGCTTAAACTGTCGCCTTGTCTAATTCCTCCCGGTGTTGGAATATTTTCAGTGAATTCGTCTCCTGCTCTAACTTTGATTACGCTGTTGTTATTTAGGTTATGGAGTATCTTTGTTATACTGGTCGGTGTTTCATTTTCTATTAATATATTTAGAATGTCCACAAGGAAAAATTCCTGTAGCTGGCTGTATACCACGTATAACAAAAAGAGGTTAATCTTTGTAAATGGGTATATTTATTTAAAAAACCCTTAAAAGGGCCACATCAATAAAACAAACGTTTTCGGACTACACAGTCCATCATCAGGTTATTAAAATCGAAAATGCTAGGTCATAATGCCTGAGCCACCAAAATATTAGGGTAAAAACCCTTTAAATTACATTTAGTTATGAAATGTTGTACATTGTGTTATAAAATAACTGTGATGTTCTATATTAAATTAAATTTGACCAAAGGTAACACATGGCTCAAATGGGTTCCAGAGCCGGGTGAGAGACAACCTCTGCACTCGGAGGTTCCACGTTGTTCTCCGAGTGCAGAGGTTGTCTCTCACCCGGCTCTGGAACCCATTTGAGCCATGTGTTACCTTTGGTCAAATTTAATTTAATATAGAACATCACAGTTATTTTATAACACAATGTACAACATTTCATAACTAAATGTAATTTAAAGGGTTTTTACCCTAATATTTTGGTGGCTCAGGCATTATGACCTAGCATTTTCGATTTTAATAACCTGATGATGGACTGTGTAGTCCGAAAACGTTTGTTTTATTGATGTGGCCCTTTTAAGGGTTTTTTTTAAATAAATATACCCATTTACAAAGATTAACCTCTTTTTATTTAGAATGTCTCCCAGGCGAACTCTGTCAAATGCCTTCGTCAAATCAATGAAGCAAATATACGCTGGCATGCCGAACTCTATAGCTTTTTCTTTTATTATTTATAATAATAATCTATATTTTATTTTATTAATAAATAAACAAAAGGTGATAATATAATTAGTCACTGATATATCTATTTTACGATTTCAGGTTTATAAGCTCATCCTACAATCACACAATCCATAGAGTAAGCGTACAGGATGCTGGCAAATACACATGTATGGCAGACAACGGTCTGGGTAAAGTAGGAGAACAGGAAATAACATTAGACGTATTATATCCACCAATAGTAACTCTAGAAGCAAAGACCAAAGAAGCCGAAGAAGGTAAGGAACTAATTTGTTAAGTCATTGTTCAAAATGCTTAATTCTTTTTGTTTTTTCTAGGTGAATCGGTATTTATAAAGTGCAACATCAGCGCTAATCCAGACCCAATAACAGTAGAATGGGTTAAAGACGGTAAACCAGACTTCCGGTTTGCGGGCGACACCTTGAAACTTAGTCATGTGACTGCTGAACATTCTGGCACCTATATTTGTCGAGCTGTCAATATTATCAGTCCAAGTGCCCCTCCACTAAGAATGAATGAGAGAGTTGGAAATGCTTCGATAGCGCTCTTAGTCAGACATCACCCCGGTAGAGCTAGGATAATGCCTGACAAACCAGTAGCTACTGAGGGATCTCCTGTCACTTTGACTTGCACTGCCACTCCACCAGGTAAGTATATTTTTTTTATTTATTACTTACTTCACAACTTCAACTTAATTTGTCTACTTGAAGGATATCAATATCAGTTTAATTAAATAATAAAATTTTCCAGGTTGGCCAGCACCTCAATACCGTTGGTTTAGGATAGATCCCAGTGGTCAGACAACGATCCTAGCCACAGGAACTAAATATACTATATCCAACGCTAACTTGGTTACAGAAGGCATCTATCACTGTCAAGCAACTAACGAATTAGGTCCAGGAGAACTAGCTTCAGTTTCATTAGAAGTCCATGTGCCTCCTAGTTTTAAAAGCAAACTAAAACCTTTGGAGATTAAACGTGTTGGTGATAGTGGATTCGTAGTGGCTTGCAGTGCAAGAGGAAAACCACGTCCTATGGTTAAGTGGTTAAAGGACGAAGAGGAATTGACACCTGACGCTAACATGTTCGAAGTAAAGACTGATTATGTAGAAACTAGTAATGGAGCAGTTAGTGTACAAAGTATTTTGAAATTTTCTGGCAAAGCTAGACCTAACGGAAACGAGTTGTTGCCCTCAGACAGAGGCGTTTACTCCTGTATGTTTGAAAATGAAGTGAAAAGAACAGAATCGACGATGCATCTGAAAATTGAACGTAAGTTGCTCATTATGTTTTATATTTTTGATCTTAAACATTTCTTCTTTTATAGATGAACCCATTGTATTGCACCATTTCAACAAAGTTGCATACGATTTATCTGAACATGCCGAAGTTGTATGCAAAGTTCAAGCATTTCCAAAACCAGAGTTCAAATGGTTCTATGGAGCCAATATCAATCCCCTGCATTCATCATCTGAAGGACACTATGTCGTTCATTCTTCGAGCGAAGAAGACATATATACAAGTGTTTTAAAAATAAATAAAATTGAGAGGTCCGATTATGGAGAATATACCTGTCAAGTCATCAATAACCTAGGAGCAATCGATACTAAAATTAAACTTCAACCTAAAGGTCCTCCTGAGAAGCCTTCTAAACTTGCATCACTGTATGACGGGTTTAACTTCGTCACACTAGGATGGGAACCTGGATTTAACGGAGGGATTTCTAATACTAAATATGTTGTGTATTATAGAAAGATTGCTAGTGATAATGATATTGTTATTGAAGGTTGTAATAATATACCTAGAAGTGTCGAATGGAATGAAGTTGACTGCTTCCAAAGTGTGCCATGTAATGTATCCCATCTGGAGCAATATCAGACGTATCTCTTTAAGGTTAGTACTATTTTTAAATTAGATGATTTAAATGGTATTAAAAAAGGCCGCCACGGAATTAATTTCAAAATAAATAATATGTTATAATGCCAGTTAAACAATCATAAATAAATACACTTATTGAATGTGCTGACAAATTTATTTTGAAAGGAAATAGTTGATCTATATTTGCAAAATGCACACCTCTAACTTTATAATTTCAAATGGATCGATCGCAGCAAATCAAATCAGTTTTACATATTGTAAAAATTTAAAATTATAATTAATAAATAATATAAACCATATTACTTAAAAAATGAAACAAAACAATTTATGTAACGTAATACATATTAAAGAATAGTATTTCATTATGAATTATTTCTTCGTAAAGTACATAGGCACGGGATAAAAGTAGCATAGCATATGAAACAAGATTATATAGTTACTTATTCTCAGTCAAAGACAATTTACAACTCGGCAAAGGGCTCCAAACATCCTCAATTATGGATAAGTCAGGTGGATTATGGATAAGACCGCTTCGGTCCTATCAAGTCATAATTAGTGTCATATTTAGTCCTATTAAGTGCTTCTATTAGTGCTCCAAAAGTCCATCAAAAGGAACATCAGTTAGAAGTAAGTTCTTATATTCATTACAGGACAGATAAAAAAATTAAATTGGACGACCAATAGTACATGACGTCAAATGTCCACTAGTTTTTAAAATAATTTTATACAAAAACTTAAATGAAATTTGCATACATTGCTCATCTCCATTTTTGAAACGAAACTTTTATACTGGCGTTGTATTACTTTTTCTCTATAGTAAAATATTGCGGCGAGCGTCACGGAAGTAGCGTCACGACACGGCGTCACGGTAGAATGTTTGTTCTGTATTATTTTTTTATATTTGGTTAAATCCTTTATATTTGTAAATGAAAATCAATAAAGGATTGTTTTTCGTATAATCACGCTACAATTATCAATTAAAGTCGCCTATTTAATATTATTTTACAAACTATATTATTTTTTACAGGTTAAAGCTATTAATACAAAAGGCAGCAGCGAGAACTCGCAGGAAATTAAAGAAAGAACGCGAGTGAACAAAATCCCACTGCCTCAAAGTGTAGAATTCGACAAAAACTCGAATACTTTAGGCATCAACGTTCCAGCTACTTGTCTCCCTCTAGTTGCTGTTGTAGAAACAGTTAGCAATGAAAATCATCCAATCACAGCCTGGCAAGTCATTGATACGATGGAGCTTCAAGTAAGGTTTTATATAATATACATATCTGTGTCGTATATAGTTATTTAAACATTGATGAATACACAAAATCATGAATTTCTGACTTAAGTCACCCATCAATATCCTTTCGGCAATTTAGAAGCAATACCAAGCAGCAAAACTAATGTTACGTGTTTTTTATTTTATGGAACCCGTCTCGTACCTCGTAATTTTCTACGTTTTAAATTATATGCAACTGTTAGTAGTCCTAATAGTTTTCACATGTATCTGGTTTTAATATTCCGTACAACACTTTTTCTTTTGTTTTTTTAGTTTCTAATTCTTAATTTTCGTCGATGTTTGTACTTTGTGTTTGCTTAGTTTTCAGATGTTTTTAACTCTTCACCTCTCTCTGCCGCTCTTTTTCTCCATCTCTCTCTGTCAATCTTTCTCTATATGATTATACATTTTTTTGTACGTTACTGCGTTGTATTGGCTGAATTACTTTAATGATAAGTCCTCTAGTTCTACCATCGAGCAAAAAGACAAAAGAGAGAATCTAATCCTTATGAAAAGGAGACCAAAAAAGTGGCCTCTGATGGCGGACATATCCGGAAATGCGAATGCGCCAAATTTAAATTTTCCGACACTTATTAACAGTAGCTATATAATATTTTTCAGAATGTGTCTTAGACGAGAAAGTTTTAATTAATTATTAACGGTAATAGTCTAAAATGCATCAAAATTGTTAAAAAACTTCAATATAAATAAGATTTCATGTGACATTTGGGACAAACAATAAGATAACCCAACTAAATTTGATGTCAAACAAGGAGAGAGACTCTCTTTCCTTGTTTAATGTGGCCTCTAAAGATCGCACTTCTTGTCTAACAGTATTTTTGCCCCCACTACCTTTACATTCCCTCTTTTGTCTTTTTGCTCGATGAGTTCTACTGATATTTTGCTGTAAATAATCTATAGTTTATTCCATTGAAAATTTTTATCTTCTGCAGATGCAAAGTTTTTTATCTCATGCAATGCCTTTAATAAGCAAATTAGCAATGTAGTGTACAGTGCTAACTATAATATTTTTTTAGGTTTCTGGACTTGCCCACACTTTTAAAGAAAAAAGCCTTGACCAAATGGGTTCGAAGTTCTATAATGGAAGAGCATTGATAGATGAACCTATCGGAGTTAATGACGACTATGTACCAAGAATCCGAGTGAAGTTGTGTCTTCAAACTCATCCGGAACATTGTGGAGAATTCGTTGATGCAGAATGTAAGCGTTTTAAACTTAAATCACAAGCTTTATAACATAACTTTAAAACATTCGTACCTTTAACTAAATTATATTTTTCTATTTTGCAGTTGGTACTGGTTCAATAAGAGAAGCATCAGCTATGACTACACCAACTGTAATAGCCATAGTAGTAGCTTGCATTGTACTGATATTGTTTGCTGGCCTCCTTCTAGTATTCTGTAGATGTAGGAAAACTGAATCTTCCAAAAAAGCACAATCAAAAGATTACGAAATGGATTCTGTACAACCAACCATTGTTCCCCAACAAAATCAAGCACCTCCTCCATATTATCCATCCTCTGGTATGGATAATAAAGCATTGGAGCATTCTTTGGATTTGGCACTCGCCTTAGAAGATCAAAAATCTGTATATGCTACCCAAAATGGATATGGATATCATGTGGCCAATGCTGATATTCAAGCTAGGCAGAACATTAACAACACAGATTGTAAGTATTTACTTTTTTTAAACCTTTGTATATTTAAAATATTATTGTATTAACGATTGTGAAACTCCTAAATACATTTAGAATCCACTATCAAACATTATATGAGGATAAAACCTTATCAAAGCTGATCTTGGACAATGCTAAGCCAATTAACGCACATCTTTTGCTAAACCTAAACATTTACGAGTGCTAATCCATTTCTCTCAACTTTAGTTTACTTTGCAAATTTCTTAAATTTCTTCTCTAAAGAAAAATTGTTCGACCTCTTCAAAACCACTACTTTTTTGTACATATGACATTATTATTTGAAGAAAATCCTTTAACACCGAATGTTCTGTAACACTTGGATGGACAAGTTTTGGAAATCGTCGATAATTGCCGAGAACCAACTTTGGAGAATATAGCAAATACTCAATTAATTCGAACCCTGTTCAAGCGACTGCAGCTATTTGCAATAGCAGCTTTGTGACGCAGTGATATGGTAGCCCTTTAACTTTACAGTTTTCCTTACAAGTTAGATAAAAAATTGTTACAATCGGTTAATAAATATTTTATGCTACGAACAAATCTGTTTCAGGGGCTAACATGGGATACATCGAGAATAGTTACTCCAACTCAAACAATGGTGGAAGTGTGAACTCCCAGGATTCCCTATGGCAGATGAAAATGGCAGCAGCTTCCAGTAACTCAAACAATCAACTACAACAACATCACATGAACGTTGATCGACAAAATTATGGATACGATCCTATAACTCATGGTGGATATGGAGCAGTGGATGATTATGCTCCATACCCACATATAACGACACAAAGCAATCATGGCGATGAATATATCAGAAATAGTAATAACCCGTCCAGACAAGACTATTGTAGTGATCCTTACGCTTCAGTTCATAAGCCTAAAAAACGTGTTGAAATAGGTAAGTTTTGTTTAAATTATTAAAGGATGTGACAGTGATTTTTTTAACATTTTACAAAAATATGTTACACTTAACTAAAGGCTCTCTTGTTTGAATGTATCAATATATTCATAAATCATTTTCAGTGATTTGACAAATACCATACAACCACAAATGTATGTACTAACACACCTAAATATTAGAATAAACTGTACTATACTTATAGTAAAATGAATATATCCTCGTTCAAAGTGAAGGTATGTGTCAAATTCAATTAATGGATCAATTTAAGCGAACCTTCCAATTTTACTAATAAGCTGTTTCATCATCGAAACAACCTAATAGATTGCTAACCTAGAAAATTAGCCGAACTTGACATCTGATGATCAGTATCTGACATTGACAGATGACATATGTCAATGACAGATACTAATCAAATTAAAGATCTAGCAATTGAATAAAGAAAAAGTACAAAAACGCCCAAAAAACGAAACGCAGAAATATAATTAGAAAGGGTACATAAAATATTAGAAATAACATAGAAATATTTAATTTCTCAAATAATAAAGATAAAGAATGGATGACTGAGGAGATTCTGAGCATGCCGACAAAAGGTCAAGGATAAAATAAAAATGAATCTTCTTCTTCTTTAAGTGCCGTCTCCCAATCGGAGGTTGGATATTATCATCACTATCTTTACTCTATCTACTGCTGCTCTGAAGAGTTCGATAGAGCTGCATTTAAACCAGTCACTACTGGGTTGTGGTCTGATCCTATGTCGGCACTTGGATCAAAGAGCTATCAAAAGATAATTAGTTAAGCAATTGGTTAAGAAATGTGAAATTCCAATGACAATGACAATCAAAACCGAAAAGCAAGAATATCTGGAACAATAGATACATCCTAATGAGACATATTGAAGACGGAAATGATATGACACAACCACAGAATAATGAACAATCAGAATGTCCACTCTCAGATGCCGCCTTTGAAGTTTTTCAGCACGCGCGCCACGTTTTAGAAGGAAACACATAACACAGACATATGATTTGTGAGGTTATGTAATTGTTTATATTTATGTTTAATTATATTATATTTATGTTATTATATTTAACAATGTTAATATAATTGTATAGTATGTCTATGATTGCCGTAAGTCAATTAAACCGGGTTAATTTTTCTATGTACACCACATAAACAACACTGGTTCCCTCTAAAACATGGCGGAACGTCTGCGCGAAGGAGATGCGCGTACCTAATTTTCCATGGAGAGTGTGATTTTACGAAAGGCACCATAAAAAAATTTTTTGTGTAGTTTATTACCAATTATTACTGATCATTCAATAAACTCGAGTGTGTTTGCACTTACTGTGTTGACTCTTTCTATATATATTTTAGCAGTTTTTTTATTGTCTGTCTTGTCGAATAAAAATAGACAAATTAACAAAATGTTAGAAACATAATTAATATTATAGTACCTCTATATATTGTACAGTTGATACAGACCATACTACAACTGTGTTGATAATTTAGACTTAAAAACATATTTATTTTGTGTAATAGTATAGCATTTTCCAAAATTTTTATTGATTTTGCGACTTTATTCGATTTTTTTAGTCGTGGACACAGTTGTTTAATTTGAGGGACAACAAATCAGTATGTAAGTGTCAAATAACAATTTAGCAACTCATCCCATCTTTTATTTTTCTTATGGTTTTTGTAAAATACGTTATATTTTAAGTTACGAAACCAAAAATAGCATCTGCATGGCCGAATTTGTGATCGTAATGTACCCTAAATATTCAGTATATTAACCATGCTTTGTGGATTTCATGAAATACCCTTTCAACGAATGTAACTCCTGAAATAAAAACAGGTCCATGTTACGTAACGGAGCTCGGATTTCCTACAGGGTGGTCAGAAGTTAAAGTGTATTTTTTACTAAGTAACATATATATATATAATATATATATATATATATATATATTATATATATATATATATATATATATATATATATATATACACTCACCGGCAAAATTAACGGAACACCTTAAAATTGGGACATGTTAGATGTCTCGAATTTCCTAAACCTATTGTCCGATTTTAGTGATTTTTTTTAGTATGTTATAGGTATATTATTTAAGAATATCGATGTAATAATATTGTTGCTAGACAGGTCAATGTCATTTTATACCGGGTGTAACAATCCTACTATGTTTTTTCCTTAAAGTTCGGAACACCCTGTGGAATATTCTAGCATATATAAAATATTGAAATTAAAACTTAATTATAGCCTCAGGCTTTCTTAACATTTTCTTTTTTGATTCATTTGCTTATGTTTGATAATAAAAAAGTTAGGTACGTTAACAACTAGCCATGTTTTTCATCAATAAATCCTCATTTTTCTGCTTAGTTTAATAAACAAGCCTAAAGTAGGCTATGAGAAGTTAACAATTTAATACACACACCGGCAAATTTAAAGGAACCTGTTATTAATGCAATATTTCTTTATATTTGTATTTTATAGACTGTATCTACATAGCTTTGAAAGCTCCTTGTCACAAGAAAGTCTTAAATGTCAAATTAATTTGTTTATTTGTATTGTGTTTTACATTTTACAGTCATTCTGTCTGTTCATAACAAGTACAAACTTGTATTTAATTGAGCGCATAGTAAGAAAGAGACTTAAAAAAGCCGGTCTCAAGTCATATGTGCCAATATAAGCTCCCAGACTCCAGAGACACCATCGTTTAGCACGACGACAATTTGGTCGAGTACATCAAAAATTGGAATGATAACCACTGGAGTCAAATTCTCTTTACGGACGAGAGCCGTTTCTGTGTAAGTTACATCGACGGTAGAGAAAGATTGTATCAACGCCAAGGAGAACGAAATGCCCCTTTCAATTTTACTACGACCGTACCTTTTGGTGGAGGTTCAATTATGGTGTGGGGCGGTATATGTTTGGGAGCAATAACAGAGTTAGTGGTGATTGATGATGGAGCATTAACAGCAGATAAGTATATCAGAGATATTCTCCAAGACCATGTGGTACCTTTTTCACCATATATTGGCGAAAATTTTATTTTAATGCAGGATAATGCGAGCCCACACGTCGCAGACTGTGTAAGATATTTCTTATTACAAGTGGGTATAACAACGATGAATTGGCCAGCTTGTTCCCCAGACCTAAACCCGATAGAGGATATGTGGGACATGCTAGGCAGAAAACTTAGGGCACGGGTTCCTGCTATTCAAAACTGAGAGGAAGTCACAATTGCTTTGATTGAGGAATGGGAGAGACTGCCCAACAACTGATCGATAGCGGTATCAGAAGTATGAGAAGACGAATAACTGCAGTTGTAAGGGCTCGTAGGGGAAACACACGCTATTAAAGCCAAAAAAATGCATAAAAAACCAATTTAAGTTCAAACTCTACAATAAAGTTAATGCGTTTAAAATCCGTATTTTGTTGAGTCTGACATCATTGTGTTTGATTTCTTCTTTAACAGGTTTTATATTGTACTACCATTGTAATATAAATTCAAAATACTTCACCAACATTCGTATTATGATATTATCTAAACAGTATATAGACTAGAGAGAAAATACTCAGATTTTATGGTTGTTCCTTTTTATTATCCAACACAAGCAAATGAATCAAAAAAGAAAATGTTAAGAAAGCCTGAGACTATAATTGAGCTTTAATTTCAATATTTTATATATGCTAGAATATTCCACAGGGTGTTTCGAACTTTAAGGAAAAAACACAGTATGATTGTTACACCCGGTATAAAATGACATTGACCTGTCTAGCAACAATATTATTTCATTGATATTCTTAAATAATATACCTATAACATACTAAAAAATCACTAAAATTGGACAACAGGTTTAGGAAATTCGAGTCATCTAACATGTCCCATTTTTAAGGTGTTCCGTTAATTTTGCCGGTGAGTGTATTTACTGAGGTGCAGAATAGCTGCACCCTAGAGTAGTTTTTTGGAAATAATAATAAAATAGATATGAAGATATTAGAAAGAAGCAATAAATAGTAAGTTAGTGTTTTCGCAGTATTAGCTGAAGGGTTTTATCAATCTAATGTAAAATATTTGAACATTAAACCTTGTTTTAACTTTTGCTGTATGATATACAACTCGAGATAAAAACTTTTTTGATGCCAATAACATTTTATGTAAATATTAATTTAGATGAAACAAGGCATGAATCAAATAAATTAAATAGAGGTGCATGACGCATGTGCTTTGCCTCCGTTAACACCGGAATACTTTTTATAGCAGTTGTATCATTAAGCGTCAATTGTAAAATTAAAACAGTTGATTATACTAGTATCGAAATGATGATTTTGCCATGCATGCATTGTGCATTTCAAAGAATATAGTTTATCTATAGATATAGCTTTCCCTTTAATTGTCTTTGATTATCCAAATCTGATGTATCAGAGGTTTTTCAATAAGATTCATGCAACTCAAATGTATTCCAAATCCTTCATCTTATAACAAAATAAAATGTGGAACAGGATAAAACCAGTTGGGGAAGACGTTACCTTGATTACTATTTATCTACTACCAAGCGCAGTCTATTACCAATCTGAAGCACTACCTTCATTAATTCATTCTCCATTCATCAGCAAGGAGGCTCCCTGTCTCATTCCAGATAGCGCATAGAAGACTCTCATCGCTTCTAGTACGGCATCACTCCTAGACGGGCATTTCCTTCTTCGCCACAATCTGACCCACGCAATCTAACTCATACAGTCTGAACCACTTTTCTAGCTTCAATTTCCAGCATCCTTCCCTCTTACCTTTGCCGTTGGTCCAGCTGTCTTTCTTCCTCTTCTTTTTTCTTGATCGCTGCACGGATATAGTTGTGTACGCTAGTCCAACCAGCTTTATTTTCAATCATCCGTTGCACTCGTAACATCGTATGTGTCATGATGTCCAAGTGGCACAGTATATACAACAACATGTAAGACCCTCCTCCTTTCGGTCCCCCAATGTACCCACCCCAACGCAGCCGGGCCACCCTCGCACGCCCCCCCCCCTGCCATTTTCCATTCTGGTACAATGTCACGCCTAGGTACTTTAGGTGTTTCTTGGGTATTGCATAGCGAAGTCATACGCAAATGCGAAGGGGATTGGACCCTCTCCATATTTACAGTTCATAAACCCGTCATATGCCAGGTTCCGTAGCGTCGGGCTCAAGATAGATCCTCTGGTGTGAATTGAACCCTAATCTGCTGGTCAATAGCCCAACTTTCTAACCATTTTACCAACTCCACACACAAATAAAGAAACATAAGAATATGAGGTACCTATAAGTACTTAGGTAAATAAGTTCCAAAAATAAATTCTATGTTAATATTCATAACTATTCAAAACGTCAGTAAATAAAAATAATATCAGGGTCTTGATATAAAATAAAAGAAATAATTTTAAATGATTCATTACTAGTGACCACCCTGTGTGTTAAGCTCTGATTCACAATTCTCTTCAAATACGTTATAACAGTTGTCTCATAAACAGCAAAGCTGTTGGACGTAAAACCCTGCAGATATATGTACAGTAGTTAATTAACATGATTTAAGATAAATTAGAGGTATTTGCGAATATTAGAATAGTTTTACAGTGATCGTGTGATACAATTGCATGATATAATATTATGTCGCCATATTTCTTTATTTAAAAACCTGTGTAAAATATTTATAAACATATTTTATGTAACGGTTTAATGATGTCTTCGCTCCTGCTACTAAGCCACATTTGAATACATTGATTTCAGTCAAATCGAACCATATATGTACAAGCCGCTTCCCATATCAGTTGGCCCAACGTTAGATTGGTAAGAAAATTAAATTTTAGAGAATGTAGAATAGAAATGTAAGCGAATCCCATATTTCTTGCAATTTTTCCTTCAATTCGTTGACGGACCTGGCAGGATATCTTCTCAAAGCTTTTTTCATTTCGCGCCACAAAGTCTCTATTGGAGAAAAGGCGGGACTGTTAGAAGAAACCCATTCCAGAAGTGGTATGCCATGGTCTTCAATCCATTGTAAACTCTTTTTTGAGGTATGACAACCTGCGCCGTCCTGTTGGAAGACAATATCTTCCACTGATGTTAGACTACATGCTGTCCCAGATCATGACAGATGCAGAAAATTTGGCTTTTCTCTTTAGACAGTCGGGATGGAAAGCTTTATTTGTCCTGCGAATGATGCGACTCCTACCTTTTCCAACACACACTTCAAATCTGGACTCATCACTCAATTGTGTTCAACTCCGTTGAATCCCATTGCGACTGAGTCCAATATTTATGCTCTTTTGACCATCTTAGTCTATTTTTCTTTTGTTGCCATGTTAAAAGTTGCTTTTTCTTAGCCTTAAATAATATTAAATTTATTACAAATAATTCGTACTAATTTTTTCAACTATAAAACTGCAAATTCCATAGGTTCACCAACTGATCTGGGAAGGGGCTCATATGTCAACTTTTTATAGTAACCTTACAATTACAGTTGTTACCTAAACTAACCTAACCTAACTATCTATCCATCATCCGACCAGTAGAGCGCGGTGTAGATTTGTGGCTCCCTGAATCTCCAGATGATTTACATTATATTTAAACTGATCTATTTTCTGATGTACAATCGTAGCTATAATAAGATTCTTATAGATAAGAATCTATAAAAGTCAGTTTTTTATATAAACAAAGTTTTCAAAAAAAATTGTTGGCCTGTATTATTTAACTATTGTTCAATTTGTTATTTCACCTTCCAAAAGCTCATCTGTTTCTGCTCACATTAAAAATAAATAACTTATTAGACCAAATGTCGGAAAAACTCTTAAAAAGGATTTGTTATAAATACTATAAAAAACTGTTATAAATCCTTCGATTAAATACTCTTTATAAGAGTTGAGAAAAGTATTAAAAAACATGTTTCTGCAATATAATCTTTCTTCGTATGGTTACTTCGGTTAAATGGGAGCAATGACTGAAATTAATGTGTTAAAAATACCCTTACAACCTAATAGAAAGTCTATTATTATAGTAATTAATTTTAAATACTAAGATTACATACCTTAAAGATTATATAGGTATGACGTATGCTTATCTTACCTCTTATTTTTCTTCTAGAATCTCCATATCATGACGTAAGCGGCCTACCTGACCCGTACTTAGAGCAAATGGAAGACGAAAAACCACCACAGCATATGTCTCTTAGTTACGAAGAAAGTCTAGAAAGCGGCTATTCGACTCCCAATTCTAGAACACGACGAGTCATCCGAGAGATAATCGTGTAAGAGTTTTAAGTGTTGCCTACTGTTCTCTACTATCGAACCTTCACAATTTCTATGTTTTTTGTTAAAAGTTTATATTCACTCACCTGAAGGTCTGTAATTTGATATTAATACTCAGTATTTAATGTTAATGAAAATCGATGCATTTAAGATACGCGTGCTTTTTATTCATACGAGAAAAACAATATGATGTATTTCTCATTTTTGTTTTATATACCATATGTGCCAAAGACGAAAGAGTTTCTATTACACACTGAATCTAGAGAAATTGTAATAGGTATATTTTCGATTAGGTGCATATTATAATATGATTTTTCGGTTCAGTTTACCGAAAGTACAAGCTGAATGTAGCCGCAAATGTCAAACAGGAAATAAAATATTTGGGTTTGGCAGTGTTGGATGTTTTTATAATGCATATGTTGTATGCTTCAAATATAAAGAGAGAACGCTTTTAAAAAGTACATTTTGATTATACTATTTTATAAATTCTGCAATTTTTAATTTGTATGAAACAATAACGAGTAAATATTTGTCTCTTTCAAGATTAATTGCAAAGATCTGTTGCAATCTGGCAACTGTTGATTTGACGATTGCCAAATCTATCCCCTAATCTCCAAGACACAAATATTTACTCATTCTTATTTTATATAAATCAAAAATTGCAGAATTCATAATATAATATAATCAAAATGTACTTTTCTAAAGCTTTATCTCTTTATATTTGAAGCATACAGCGTATATATTATAAAAACAAGCCTACACTGCTAAACCGAAATTTTTTGTTCCATGTTTGACATTTGCGGCTACATTCATCTTATACTTTCGGTAAACTCAACCGATTTTTCCGCCAATCTCCCAATTTTAGAACACTACGATTCCCTTTATTCTAGCTAGATCTACAATAATTAGTATGTACTCTTATTTCTATGCATTCCCGATGTAGAACTACACTTCAACACATTGTCCAATTTTCTTGATTATTTATTTAACGGTTAGAATAGACAAATCTGACAGCTAACGTTAAAACGTAAACAACTCGCACGTTTGTGTTAATCGTGTACGCTGTTAAATGGAACCTAATGGCTTCAGGGTTTTATCCACAGAACAGCGGACGAGCCACATTTGCGAACAAAAAATGTTAGTCTTCAAAAAAGAAACATTTTTCGTTCGGAAATGTCCCTTTTATACGCCAACCGAATTATTTGACTTTGCAATTTATGTAAATACAACTTATTAAGTTTTGTATCCTTGTTTTGAATATTATTTTACAGGATAATCTGTAAAGTATGACTGATATTTGATAGAATATAATGATGTAAATAAATATTTTAGTTAGTGTAGACCTTAAAAAGTGATTGGATATAAACTTTGGATTTATCTTCTTACGTACCTGTACCTGACAGACTTTTATTTTCGTAGTGTTGCTGAGTTACCGTTTATATTAGGAACACGATTTGTGACATATCAAAATAAAATACTTAAAGTATTGTACAACCTGTACAAATACCTTAAATAAAGGTTTTTTATTCATATTGAATTATTGAAAATAACGTTAATTTAATGAATATTTTACTCAATTTTAGTAGCCTCTTAGATGTCTTATCTTTAAAAAAATTGAAATGTCCCTTCTGCAGAGTACTTTTTTCAGTTTGTTGAAGGAATTTCTTGCCTGTACTATTCTTGCCTTAATCTCTTCTGTGTACTCATTATTTTCGTTAATTATTGTACCCAGATATTTATATTTATAACTTTTTTGTTCTCCATGTATGGTTATGTTTTCTTGGCGCTGTTGGACTTTTGTAATTACCATAAATTGTGTCTTTTTTGTGTTTGGGGACAGTCCGTTTACTTCACTGACATCTAATACTCTGTCAACCATTTTTTGTAAATCCTCAAGACATTTCACTAATAAAATAGTGTCATCGGCAAACCATATAATATTGATTGGTCGGTCATTTACTTTTATTCCCATAGTTAGTTCTTCTAGTGCTTCCTGGATTATTTCCTCTGAATACAAATTGAACAAAGTAGGAGACAGGACTGGCTGATTAACATCCATGCACCTTTCAACATGCTCAAGTACATTCACAGCGAAAAGGGCTTCCGTCGTGCCCAGTGCATTTCTAAATCCAAATTGTGTGTCACTTATGTCCTGCTCAAGTTTGTTGTGTATTCTCCGGTGTATAATTTTTAAAAATATTTTGAACGTATGACTCATTAAACTTCTTATTTGAGGGTCTTGGCATTCTTTTGTATTTGGTTTTCCTGGTAGTGTTATGAATCTTGGCATCAGCCAATCTCTGGGAATGATTCCTGTACTGTTTATTGTATTGAATAAGTCGACCAATATTCCAATTTTGCGGTTCTTCTATTAACCGTATTATGTCTACAGGTATTTCGTCAGGACCTGTTGCCTTGTTATTCTTTGTTTGCTTTATCGCCTCCAATACCTCATCTTTTGTTATGTCTGGGCCGTTGTCGAACTTTTCCTGCTCTAGTACTATCAATCTGTTCGTCTTTAAATAGCTCTTGAATATATTCCTGCCATCTTTTAAGCCTTTCACCGACGTCTATAATTATTTTGCCGTTTTTATCCAGCAGTAGGTTTGGTTGTTTCTTAATATTAGTGCCTGTTGTTTCCCTAATTTTTTATGAAGGTTTAAGTTATCTTGTTTCTCTACCAACTGTTCAATCTCTTCTCATTTGTCACTATACCATCTTTCATTTGCATCTCTGATCTTTCTCCCTATTTCTGTGTGCATAATATACATGTTTTTGTCTTTGGTTTAATAAGATCTCCTTGCTTCCATGAGATCCAGAATCTCATCGGTCATCCGTTCATTTTTGTTCTTGATCAGCTTAGGTGTTAGTGTTGTCTCACATGTGCGTATAAGAGCATCTTTTAACATATGCCATTTCCTGTTCTTATCATCAGTAGGAATAGTTTCTATTTGGTTTCTCTTTGGTGAGCTCTTCTTCGGTGAGTAAGTCCATTCCTAAGGACAATAAGCGACTTTCTAGGGAGTTGTTTTTCAGCCATACACTTTTAAAGATTGAGTTAAGGAGGAGATAAATCTTGGTACCACAGTTTTGAATTTAGACATCCTATAAACTTTTTCACTCTTACTATCTTTTCTTCTATCTCCTATTCAGTCCATCCACTAGGGTTAACCGTTCTGTCTAAATATGCGTACTCCATACAAGCATTAATTACAGTGTTCTCATCTATTATCAGGTTTCCTGTTGGGTCCCCGATGGGTATTCTAGTTTTGATGGATTCACTTGGATGGATTCAATGAAGGGTGTGCAAAATATTCTTCCCGTTCAATTGTACGCCTATTTCAAGTCAAGATCTCCGCCTTCTCAGGGCTCCATTTAGTGATATTATAAATAGAATTGGAGAAAGATCCCTTCCGCAATCCTTTTGGAAGGATTGATGAAGGGATATGCACAATTTCTTCCTAAATTTTACTGGAAGTTAAACTGATATTAGTAAAGAAATATTTATGTGAAAAACGTTTTTTTCTTGTGCAGTACTTTAGGTAAATTCAAATTACGACTCGCATTCCTAATATATTGCTGGAAAAAATATTTAATATCTTTCATGCTCGAAATTTTTTGCTGCTAACATAGGCTTACCTGGGTGTTTTATAAATACAAATCGAATTTTTAACACTTCTTATAAAGCTCCATGTGAAATATCACTGTCTAGTGTTTTTAAATGCAAAATATTTCAATACACAATGTATACAGGGTAAATATATATACGGTTTGGTGCAAAATGAGATTAAAATTTGTGTTTTATATAAGTGGCTGTATAAAAACTATTGTTACTTTGTAAGTATATACTGATTGTTGTTCATGTTTTTAAGTTCCTTAAAACTTCTGTTTTCCTAAACTTTCACCTTAATGTATTTTTCTGGGACATACATTTTCATCTATATCTTTGTTTCGCTAGCTGTAATGCTTATTTTCTCTAATGCAATTACGCCAAGCTGTAAGTCATTTTGTTTTTATGTTGGTATAACAACATATTTCTATTTTTATATAAAACTAAACAAAAAATATATGATCATCTTTGATAACGGATTAAGATGTACGTGAAAAAGCCTTTTTATTCCGATCCAAAAATTTATGTAATACGTAACATTGCCCCTTTGTTACAATTTCTTAAAATAGCTTATAGTTGGCAATGCTAGCCGGCAAAGTACAGTTAACGTTGCAATAAAAACGAGTTTTTATGTGGCCACTCGGTAGATGCCTTAAGATATATTATAAAAATTATAAATTAAATTAACATACACTCAGTATGATTTGAAAATGTAAATACGGCTTAGACATAATGATACATATATGCTACGGATTTAAAATGGGTAACACACAACACTAATTTTCAATTTAGCATTTACGAGATAAATGTTTGCAAACGTGTCATTATACTTTGTAATACAGGGTGAGACGAAATATATGAACTGTCAATATATGAAGATAAATTATTTTTGTCCGTACTTACGGACCTTTAAATTAAAGTTACGTTATTGTGACATACGTCTGGTTTACAAAACCTGACAATATTGTAAATAAGTTTTAGTTGGATAAGTTACATTGTTTGCATGTTTTTCTCACCCTGTATATAGTTTGTCATTTTCGGATGACATTGCCATTATTTTTAGCTAATGTGAGGCTAAACACAATAACGAAAGAACAATTTTATATAAAAAAAATGTGATTTAAATTGCAATACGCGATTGTTGTGCTCTATGTTGTTGTATATTGTTAAGGATTATTTTTTGTGTTATTTTCTAGTATTTTGTCGGTCGTGCGGTGTAAATGAATCTAATTATATTTTTTTGAGTATAAGAAGGTTTTGTAACTGGATAACCTTAAAATAATTTGTCAGATGCCATTTTTATTTACGATTTCTATAATTTTCCGTGCAATAAAAACAATGTAACCTAAAGCCACAATCATCATTCAGTGTATTGTACGTTTTTACAGTATTCGATTTGAAACGTTTATAAATTAGGGTATTTATTTGCCCAACCTAACATAACCTAAATTAACTTGTTCTATATTTCGACAAAATACAGAGTCGTTTTTCTACAAATCCACGCATTTCTATACGGGATTCATACCAGGACGATTGTTTTAAGTTTCAACCACCGCACCGTTACAAAATATACTATTACACACATCAGAATTTGCGCTAGTTATATGCAGCCTCATGTTGATTATACCACATTAGTAACACGTGCACAAACAATCGATTCTGCCTTTTTTGATTCCCAAACTTTTAGGTTTATATTGTTCTTCCTTGATTTTCTTAAATCATATTGCTAATAATGAGGCCTATTTCTAAATAGAAACGTATTTCAACTTCTCTATTGTCGGAATGATAAGTGATGAACCCATAGCAATGTCGTCTTTGAACGTTGAGAGATTCTATTATCTTTTACAGAGCATTCCATAACAGTATCCATATACACTATAGCCCAAAGTAAACAGTACTGAACTTGTAATTATTTTATTGTTTGTAAATGTACATAATGTACATGTAAATGAGTTTTCTCTCAAAATCTCTCAAGACAGACTTCATATCGATATTCCAGATTTCTCGTAATGTTATGGAATAAAGGTTGTCTCAAGTCCGCGAAGAAGGCTCTAAGTCATCCTTATGGTTACGTTACCATCCAACTCATTGA